AAAGAAAGAAAGAAAGAAAGAAAGAAAGAAAGAAAGAAAGAAAGAAAGAAAGAAAGAAAGAAAGAAAGAAAGAAAGAAAGAAGGGTTACTGCTGTTCACTCCTGTGTGAATTGCTCCCTCTGTGGCTCCTGCAGGTCACCTCTTCCCTCTGCTCTTCGGGGTCTTCCCTTAGGCGCCTCAACATTCAAATAGTTTATTGATTTTATTGATCTGTGAGATTTACAGCCCACCATTCTTGCAGGAGCAAAAGGCCACGGAGACCCTTTCAGGACAGCAAAAATCCTTCTCTATGGCTTCCCATTCTCGGCTTATAATTATTTAAAATAAAGCCCACCCACTCTCTGGAGAATCTCGTGGTGTGTTTCCGTTCCTAATATGATATGGATAAAAGTTGTATTTTATTTATGGACAGATTAATTTGCTTTATGTGCCGATTGTAACAGGATGGGTTTACCCCAACCTCGAGACCGCAAGCCAGGGTTATCTGTTTTGGTGTTAAGAGGTGAGCAGCCCGGCCTGAATCTTTTGCCTACCCCTAAGCGTCTGCAGGAGGGGCAGGTCACACGATGACGTCATGCAGATCTGCATCATTTGCAAGATGATGTCATCCAGGCTTCTTGGGGTGACTTGTTCCCCAGCTTTCCTGTTGTCTTTGCTTTTCAGAAATGCCACTTAGCTTATTCTGCTGGAAAAAAGGAGGAAAGTCCTCATCTTTTCTGAGTTGATTCCCCCCCCGCTTTTTTGAAAAAGCTGCTTTATGGCTTTAAAAGCTGGCAACTTGCAAACTTGAAGGGGGGCACGATATGGGCCCTGCTTCTGCCCCCTTCCCTTCCCCATAATCTGAGCAGCTTTCTAATTCTTGCATTAAATGCTTTTAATTATAGGAGCATTCTGTCTGACCTGTGGGGTTATTTCAAGAGAGGAAAAATGAAGGAATTAAAGAAAATGACAGAGGAAATTGCAGCAATTAGCAGCGCTGGTATTGTTCCGAATGTCTGTCAAGTGGGTCTCTGTTTGTTAGTCACAAGTAAATCCGTACAGATAACCGAGGCAGCCGTTATAAACGGCATCTCTGAAGCTGCCGCAGCTATTTAAAGAGAGAGAGAGAGAGAGAGAAGAAAAAATATTTGCAAAAATATGATTTTCCTCCTTGAAAACGCGTTCCCAAAAAAGGCTGGGCCTCTCCCCTTCCATTCCAATCAGCTTTGCTCCCCAGAGCGAACAGTCCGCCTCCCCCTTCTCTGGGGTTGGCCCCTGCTACTGGCTACCTACCGCGATCAGGCTTCCCGGGGGCACAGCTCCCCTAGGGAGGGTTTGGCCCCACCGCCTTCCCTCCGTGGCAGCGCGCCCGGTTTGCACGGCCAGCGTCCCTAATGCAGACCGCCACGTCTGCGGTCCAAAGGGGGTGCTCCTGGACCCCGGAGCCCCTGGCAGCGGAACCCAGTTCTGGACCGCCGAGGGAAGAGACGTGCAGTCGTTCGACACGGTCTTTGGCCGTGTCGTCTGCTTTTTCTTTGGTGTGTCTGAACTGACCACAGCTGCGGTTCACGGCCTTGCTATCCGTGTGGTTTGTCGATCCTCCCTCCGATACCGTATTGGCTGAGGAATTCATAAGACACCGTTGTGTTTTCTTTTATAAAACCGAAATGCGCAAGAGGAACAAGCGGGGCACAGGTAGATGCTTTTAGCCCAGTGTTGTCCAAACTTGGCCACTTTAAGATGAGTGGACTTCAACT